ATCTGCTAATGCAGGGAGGTAATGAGGGCTGTTACAGAGTCCAAGGAAAGGAACCCAGCCTGTGCTGTGGATTTCCCATATGAAACAGTGGCTGATGGAGATGAGGAGTGGTGAGGAAGGACAATGATTCTGCTAGAGCCTCACAAACCGAGGACTCGCATCTCATCTGGGCTGTCAGAGTCAAGCCATCGGAGCAACACTTAAAAGCCATTAGAATACAGAAAAAAGCCTTATTTCTAATTTCTAACTGTTTCCCCCCCCCCCCACTTCAAAGAATGCATTAAATTGAATTTAAATTCTTCCCTTTTTTGTGACTCTCCTGACATTTTTGTCTGGCATTTTCATTAATTTTTGCGACACGTGGAAAATGGAAGTGAAATGTTAACTGATCAATACAATTTCTCTCTCGTGTTGCAGAGGGGGTGTGACTCCCAAGGGACAGTGCGGCACTATAAAGAAATTAAAATGTGTAAAAATACCAAATGTTCCTGCTTAATGCTGAAGCACTTAAAACAACTGAAAAGGCTACAGCCAGACTAATGGACAGATTCTGCTGCAAATTATGCAGAATCACATTAAGGATTATAAGTTTGTCTTGTTATACAATCCACAGACTTATAAGCTAATAGAGTGTCCTTTTGATGATAGCTTAGTTGTCCAATTATGAATTTCTGCTTATTACAGAGTAGGAATGACAGCACTGGAGAATAGGACTTTTTAGAATGCAGCACCGTTGTCAACTACATAAAGGGAGGAACAGAGACAGAAAAAAAAGATTATTTATCATAGAACAGAACGGATTCACCCAGAATCAGCTTTAAAGTGGAAGGCGATCAAAGTGCTCTCCGCATTCCACATTTCATCCTGGAAAAACGAATTACAAATGCCAGGCAAGCATCGGGGAAGGTGAAGGGCATGGTGGCATGGTCCTACAACCAGAGCTAGCCAGGTCAGTGTCGCTGCTGCCCGGAACAGCTTTCCTGTTAGTTTCAACAGGCAACAGCTCCAACATTCCGTGACAAAATGTTCTTACTGGGGTGTCTTCTGGCTTCGATGTGCCTAGAATTCAGCAGACTGCACACTAAAGAAAAATACTCTACACCTTTCCTTCAAAAACTGCACTGGCTCCCTGTGAAAATTTAGAATGGACTTAAGTTAATAAATACTTTAGCTGCAAATTATCTTGAGAGTGTATTACATGTGTACAGTCTAGTTATTAATCTGAGATGTACAGTACTTATTCAGAACCTCTAAATCTACCAAAGACCAGACTCCACACACTGGGAGACAGAGTCTTCTTACTGTGCTGAAGACCAGACTCCACACACAGGAGACAGAGTCTTCGTACTGTGCTGAAGACCAGACTCCACACATAGGAGACAGATGCCCAAATCCATCAGAGACTCTGCTATCATCAACAATTCAAAAACACTTAGAAACCCATATTTCCACAAAAAACATCCTCCTGGATTTTACAGAATTGGTTTGATGAGGCTTTTGTTTTCCTAGTTGTGTCATATGTGTTATGTGTGTGCTCTTGTGCAAAGTCTGGTGAATGTTTAAAATGTCACCGTACAACATAGTACCAGCTCTCCTGCTCAATGCATCTACCTTTGTGGCACTGACTGACAGAGACCCAGTGCTCCTTTGTCAATAAGGTACCCAATAAAAAGAGGTTATTGGACATGTGAGCATTTAGACCAGGGCCACAATCAATAAGCAATCGCTGATACATTTATAAACTCCAGTGGGAAAACACTATCCAGATGTCTCTCTTTTAAAAGGGATTTCATAAAGTAATTATTATCAGCAGCTGTTGAATTAGCACCGGTAGCAGCAGTGACTTCAGCATTCAGAAAATGAATGCAGCACAGACAATTACTGGCAGGCTGGCCTCATCTGTGCTCACAAAAATGCACTGTGAAGCAACTAGCAATGTAAGATAAGCATATTCTCTCACCTGCCTGAAGCACTACATCTAATAATCGGTTTGGGAAAGTGCTGCAGTACTGAGCTACACACCAGCGCCTTTAAGGGAGAACTGTTAAAAAGTCAAAAGGTTTTGGGGGATTACAGACAGAAAACAGGGTCTGGATGGAGAGTGAAATGATTGCAGAATTTCACATCTGAGTGCTGTTGGGTAGCTGTGTCAGGAATATTTAAACATGTGAGTGAGTTTCAATGTAGCAGAGTGAGAAAGTTCGCAGTGCAGTTCGTGAGTCTGTCTCCCTGCATCAGTACCACTACCAAAGCCAGGACTCGACTGCTCTCCCCGAGACCCACATCTGGGGCACCACTGCAGGAGAGCAAGCAGCTCCTCGAAGTGATTTCAGAAGATAAGCCCAGTTCCTGAGCACTGTAGTGTGTAGAGCACAGGCTCTCCTGTGGACCTCTACAGCAACTCCCAAGATGCACCAGTATCAGAGCTACTGGGTCAAAACTCTCCAGAACACTGGTTCTCAGTCCTGGTTCTGGGGGATGGCTGTGTCTGCTGGTTTCAGTCCCAGCTGGGCCCTTAGCCACCAGGACTAACCGGTGCCTTAATTGGTTCGTTTGCAGGTTCAGACTTTTTTTTCTGCACTCCTTGGTGTCAAAAAGAGGTGGTGTCTAGTTCAAGAGCTTTATTTCAAACTATTTCAGCACATAGAACTTACTGTCTCTCCACAGCTTGCCAATTAAGAATTGTCTCCCTTTTTGTTCCCAGTCGACGATGAGCACACACAGGTGGGAACAACAATGCTACTGTATCAGACTCTTGCCGAGCTGGCTATAGTTCAGCTCACACACCTGAGTAAGGGCAATCCTGAAACCCACTCATTAACACACAGTTCATACCAAGTACAAGTCACATTCAGGTTTTTAAGAACTGTAAAATTATAATAAGGTCTGAGACGGAGATCTGAAATAAAGCAGCGTGTGATTTAGAGCTCAGCTGGACACAGGGGTTACCCAGGACCAGAACTGAGCGCCACTGTACTGGGGTACACATGGCCAGCAGTCTCAAGGCCCCAGCTGAAACAAACCCAGCAGACACATGTTTACTCAGGGTCTGACTGAGAACACTGCTCTAAAACTGAGACCTGTATGATGGGTATCATGGTTTGAGATAGACCCCAGAGTTATGGCAGTTATCTGTAAAAATCTTAATTTTTTAAATTGGAGTACAATAAAAAACTGCACCATGAACATGGAAACACATGAAGCGATAGAAGACTGGACTGGTTTCGGACGCTCACCAGACTTAGTAGGACCGCCAGAAACTCTGTTCCCTCAACCCCAGCAGCATCAGCTGGTCTTTCAAAATGCAGCAAAACCTGCAATTTGTAATTTTGTAATTGTAAGACTATCTTACTTCTTCAACAGAGTCAATCATACACTCTTTGCAAGCAGTTTGATTTATTCCAGACATGATTTAGGGAACGTGATGTCATACCACTGGCAATGGAAGAGCTGAAATACACCTTGTGCTCTTTGGGGTCTGTTTTACACGGATTGGAAAGAACTGACAGACGCTGACAGTGAGGCACCTATCCCAACTTAGTCTTTAAGCAGCAACAAGCAGCAAAGTGTGGCTCTTTAAACTCTGTTGTCAATTAATGTGCTGTTGCTGATTTGGGAATTTTTCTGGTTTTTGGTTTATAGCACAAATCAATAAAACCGATCCTTCTGAGATGCTAAACAGAGTCATTTCCTCTTACAGGCAGTAGGTAAGGGTTAATCGGTCCTGATCCTGGACAGCTGAAGTCCTAGAAGGTTTTAGAGTTACAGTAACCCGCAATCATCAGTGTACGCTGTCATTTAACAGAAGTCCAGGAGAAGGTCAAATCATAATGCTGCACTTCTGCTTTCCTACATATAAAAACACACTTTGCTGGCTTCCCACAACTCTGCACTCTAGCCCCCCTCCTTCCCTCTCATTTTCACCCTTGCAGCTGCCTCCCTGCTTCATTCCTCATGTGTGAGAAAATATAATTCCTCCTCACCCAGGCGAGTTAATGTCAAAGTATTAAGTACGTTATCCCATCAGATTTGTCAGCTCATTTTCTCATTATCATTGGAATGTGACTATTGAAATGTTAACATGAACGACCCGGTTTTTGATCCAATTGCAAGTTGAGAGTTCAGGGGTTTCCTGTTCTCTAGTGCTGGATGGAGTTCTTCGCACTCACTCCTCTGAGTGCTGGGATTGTGGTAACAGTGTTCCTCAGTTCTTTCTGGGCCTTAAAAGCACAACCTGTCTTTCTTCCCTCAGAAAGCCTTACGTGAGGGACCTTTTTCAACCCAGGCTTGAGAATCTCTCCACTGCCCGCCTGCACCTCTGCCACGTCCCTTCACTCCCTGGTCACAATACGCAGCTCCTTGGTCAAACGCCGCTGTCATTCCAACATGAGCGACTCGCTCGTCTGCATGTGACCTGGAACCAGAGTGTCTTCTGCTACATTCAAATCCTCTGCTGTACAGCTGTCAGTACCCCTGACAAATAGTTCCCATTATCATGCTACCACACTTTTATTCTAAAAATATAACGTATGAGATAACGTGAGAACTGCAATCCTTTGGGTAACCATCTATTTTCACTTTCAGATTCTCTGTTAAAGAGCTAATAGACAGACCTAGAAATATATATATATAATAAGCTGTGCTATTCGGGGACTGAAAGATATAGTCATACCAGACCAGAAAACACCGGACCGATGTTTAAAAGCTCACGTACTGTCTGCTATTTTATGTAGTGCTTTATCGAAACCCGTATGCCGTTACTTTGACTTTCTGAAACACATGCTTGTCTCTTACTCAGTTCAAGATTGCTTTACGGAGCCCAGTGACCGGTAGGCTGTGCATTCGGGGTTTCAATGATTATGAACTCTGGACGATGACAAGCGCTGCTCCACTGGGAGGCAGAGGTTCGGCTCGAGAGGAAACCAGCAATAAGGAGGGGTGGGGGTGGAGTGTTAATTCATTAGATAATTAGTTAACTGGACTGCAGACTGCAGGCCTACCAGAAAGGCAGCGAGGCTCCTCTGCGGCGACTCCCACTCGAAGCAGCTGTTGACGTAGCATCCGGCGCTCAGGAGAGCCACGACGCAGCGCTTCGCACGGTTGAAGTTACGGAGCAGCAGCTGCAAAGACACGAGGCGTCGGGGGGTGAGAGGAGCCAGCCACCC